TGAAAGTTCACCCCAGTAGTGAGGGAATTTTAGGCATATTAGAGAAGTTGAGTGAATGACAGGCATCATATCTCCTTGCTTTAATCCATGCATTATCACTCTTGTTGCTGGGAGAAAATACTTAGCACCCATAACTCAAGGGGAAGAGTGTGCCACATGTGGTGCTGCATGCTTGTAACCCAGCACTCAGGAGGCTGAGGCAGGAGGATCAGTGCAAGTTCAAGGATGTCCTGGGCTACAAAATGAGCTCAAGGCTGACCTGAGTTGCACAATGCAACACTGTGGCAACAAGACCAAAAAAAAGATGCTTGTTTTGGGCTCATAGTTCTGTCTGTGGTTGGCTATTCTGAGGCAGAAACAGCTTGGTGAGCGGAGTTGCTGGAAGGAAGCTGCATGCGCATGGTGGCCCAGACGAGAAGGCACCCTGTGTATGTCACAGTGTTGTGGTGCCTGCCATGGTGGATGTAATTGTGATGCATGGCATTCAGGTACTACTGAAGAATAAGAGAGATACCCTTCCTGGTTGTGTCCTGAGTCACCCACCCCTTCCAGCTAGGCCCCACCTCTGAATTGGAGATTTCTGAGGCATAATGTTTTTGCGGGATATTTTAGATGTAAACCATAACAGATAGTACAGAGGCTTAATTTTGGATCTCTTAAAAGATAATCCACGTATGTTTCAAGGAAGGCGGATTTTCACCGCCAGCAGCAGTGTTACCCAGCCCCTTTACTGTGGGCAGTATGTGCTCTTGTCCAGGCTACAGCATTCTGATTTTTAGCAAAAGAAAAGAGCAAGAGTGTGAATAGCCAGGTCTGGGCCCAAGGCCTGCTGTGTTGTTTCAGACCTTTTGTTTAGTTGTTAAGAGCAGTTTTAGGTTCACAGAAAGCAAGCAGAAAGTACAGATTTTAAATGAGAATATATCCAGAGGAGCTGAATTTATAGTAGATAGTACCACTATCTACTGTAATCAGTATTGGAAATTGTATTTAACCAGCCGGAGAGACTTTTAGTATTGAAGACTACAAAGAATTCCATTTGCATGGAAAGAAGAGTCCTCCCTGGTCCCTGATTCTGCACACTGTCCTTCTCTTGGGGGCGCTGGGGGAGCTGTCTGGCAGGAGGAGACTGTGCAGAGTCACCGACAAGCTTCCAGGACCGTCAGTGGCCGTGTGTGTGTCTGGTCTGGCTCTCATAGTCTTGTCCTTTTAATACTATGAGCACGCAAAACAAAGTTTCTATTTTGTCTTAATTTATTTATGTAAGACAAATTCAGTACATACACTCTTCCTTTCTTTTTTCCCCATTGTCAACTGGGAGAGTCCACAGGGCTGCAGCAAACGATGCTGAGTGAGCAGCCTGCCCTTTCTAGAGTATCCAGTTGCTTAGTGCTTCTGCAATAGTCGACCAGTTGTGAGCCCAAGAATAACCCACACTGACCACACTGAGACTGCCTACCAATTTTCTATTAAGTTCTTAGACTTAGTGATAAGCCTTGCCTTGGAGTCTTAAACTGAAGTCATCATCTAAAACTTTGTCTTTAAGTGAGCAGTTATAGATAGTTTAGATCACTTAACTGTTGTGTAATAGCACAGATTTTTCTTTGGAATATCAGCAGCGAGGTGCCTGAAGGGTCCTTTCCGTGTAAGGGAATTTATCTTCCTCAAAGTGACACCATGCCTTACAGCAGTGTGTCTCATCTTCAGCCCCCTTGACATCTTCCTTTGTTTGGTCTAGGTCATTCAAATGTATGGCTTCATGATTTATAAATATTCATAAGTACTGTCCATGTCAAGAAGTAGAACCATGTTGGTCACTCCAAGACCCTCTTCTCTGTCTCCTTCATCCTGGTGACAGCCTCTCTTTCCTGCTAAGGGGGACAATTATCTGACTTTTCTAGTAATAACTTCTTTGTGTTTTCTCGTTTTTATCACCCAGCCATATACCTTGAGGCACTATGGTTAGCCTTTCCTATTTTTTTTAGAATTAACTGTTTAGACATAGCAGTTAGCATACCATCTTTCTTATAACCAGTAGAAGAGAAACAACCTAGAGTTATTTCTCCATCTGAAAGTATTCAGGCATGCACAGTGATGCAGCACTTGGGAGGCTGAGTAGGCAATAACTTGAGCTTAGAAGTGGAAAACCAGCCCTAGTAGTTACTTGGCAAGACCTTGTCCCTAGCAAGTAATAATGAATGTATTGAAAATTGTATAGTGGAATACATAAGAGCTTTAAGCGTATTTTGATTTTATATACATTTTCAAATTTATAGTCTTATTTGAAGAAAAGACTGGTTTTGATGACCAAAGTAACATCATATACCTTATTTTAGAAGCACCCTCTGGTTCAGAATTTGCAAATGCTGTTAACCAGCCAGAAGCTTTAGGGGTTGTAATTTGGTAGGTTTGGGGGGGGGGGTTGTTTGTTTAAAGGTTATTTGTATTTCATCGGTTTTAACTTTGGAGATATCCTCAAAGTGGCAATCTTCCTTTATACTTCTTACATTTACCTTAACTATTCAATAAGTAAGTTTGTGAAATTAAAATGAGAAGGTTCCTATCTATGGTTCCAAAACTCGTATGTCTCCTGTTAAAGTTAGTGGTGTGTAATTTGTAAGGTGTTCTGCTGTGGGCATCTTTGCCCTCCTGTTGTAAAGTCTGTGCAGTGCACTGCCACATGAGGAAGTGTGTGTGTGTGTGTGTGTGTGTGTGTGTGTGTGTGTGTCCACCCCCTGGAGCGTGAAGACAGCCATGGGAGCCTCACATGGGATTTTAGCTTTCTGGCCTTCTGCTTCCTTGTTTGAGGAGCTCTCCATGTGTGGCTGTGCCAGGTCTAGGTGGTCTTTATGGAACTAGGCCATAAGTACACAGTAGGTGTTGGCTGCATCAGAAATAGGCCCCTGGACTCAAACTGGGTACCAGAAAGTTTATGCACTCAGATAACAAGCAAGAGGACTTGAGGCGAATGCCTCCTTCTGCAGCAGGGCGCCTGGAGCTGTGGGTGTGCACTGAACAAAGGAGGAGGACCTGCTCTTTTATCTGTAACCCAGGGGGGAGCTGACCTCTTCCACACTGGCTGGGTAGAAAGTTCACAGTCTGCCCCAGTTTGCTAACTAAGGAGGAATCAGAAGGGTTGCTGAAGAGGAAGAGGTATGAAACACAAAGCGATTGTGGCAAACGAAAGTCCTTGGGTCTTGATGTGCTGTCTTTAGTTGTTTTCTCATGCTTTGAACTGAGCAGGCAACTTTGTGACTACGTGTGCATAGGAGGGGCTGCTCTGGGTGAGCAGAAGACCAAGACAGAGACAATCCCGTTTCATAGAAAAGACAGAGCTTACTGTTTTCCACAGCTGGCAGTGAGTTAGGAAGTTTTCTGAATTTCATACAAGCTGCAGAAAAGTCCTTGATTTTAATTTGTCTTGACAGTGAAACATCCATGAAAAAGATGAGAGAGCTCAGAGACATGCAGCGATTAGGTTGGCACAAAGGGAACTGCGTTGGGAGTTAATGAGATAATGCTTTCTCTTCAGTGCTGGGGATGATCCCAAAGTCTTGTGAAAGCTAGACTAGTGCTCTACAATTGTGCCACATGCCCGGCTCTTCTTGTTTTGAGACAGGGTCTCAAACTTTTCCAGGATGGCTTCCAAGTTGTGATTCTCCAGCCTCAGGAGTTACAGACGTGTGCCACTGCGCCTGTATATGTCACAACCCTGCATCATTTGTTGGTTGCATGTATGACACTTGTGTCTCTTACTTCACTACTTTCAAAACATATCCTTTGCCACACTATGTTTTACTGTTACATATTTTCCTTTAAATTGATTTTCAAACTTAATAACACATTTGAGAAAGACAATTGAGTTGGAATGGTGGTGCATATCTGTAAGCCTTGCTTTCCGGGAGGCTGAGGCACGTTGATCACAAGCCCAAGGCCAGGCTGGCAGCTTAGCAAGACCTAGCTCAGAATAAAGAAAGAAGGGGCAGGAGGAAGCTGTACCTCAGAACTCCCTGGATTCAATCCCTAGTACCAGAAAAAAAAATTGTCATAAATAGTAGATAATTATATTAATAAATACAATAAAAAAGCCATTTTTAGAAAAGTCTGATATTTAGCCTGATATTTGTTAAAACAATGAATAGCTTAATTTTTATTTATTTATTTATTTATTTATTTTCTGGAACTGGGGATTGAACTTGGGCCCTTGCGCTTGCGAGGCAGGCGCTTATGCTGCTGAGCTACATCCCCAGCTTACAATGAATAGCTTTAAAATAGAAACCTTTTCTTTGATGCAATGACAATTAAAAAGGACATGAGTTCTTTCTTGGCCTCTTCGACCTTCAGTGTCATCTGTTACTTGGGCCAGGGGTGGAGGTTATTGTGAGTTTGGGGTAGGGTACTGGAAGGGCCTGGCCTGGGGCAAGTATTCTGACCAAGTTCCTATTATCAGGGAACATCCAGTGTGCCATTTGGTGCCATACGTGAAATTATCTGGCCAGCCAGTGACAGCTACCCAGGTTAGTGAGGGGCAAATTAGAAAAACAAAGAATTACAAGGACAAGCCTGGCTGTCTTTCTTGGTACCCTCCCCATCCCGTGTAGCCATCTCCACCACACAGGTAGCAGAGGTGAGACAGGCGCATCAGATCTGGCTAGACACTTCCTGACACTTGTGGGTGCCACGCCTCATGGTGCCTGCTCGAAACAGCCCTGTGCGTGCAAACGTCATCCCCCACCAGGTGAATGGTATAATAGCAGACACAGTAACGGTCTTCAAGGGGCTGAGAAGTTAATGTGTGGAAATGTTATTTGGGTTCCTGTTCAGTTACCTTACACCCCATCTGTGTGTATGTAATCTTTTTAACTCTTTTATTTGGATGTAATTTAAGACTCACAGAAGTTGCAAAAATATAATGGGATAGTGTATACCCCATATTTTTTTAAATACTGTTTTAACATCTAAATAAGGTGGTAGTTCCTTGATGTGTTTTTCTTTTATTTTAGTGTTGCCTTCACTGAAGAATGGGGGAGATAGAAGGAACGTACAGAGTCCTGCAAGCGGCAGGGACACGCTTGGGTGCCCAGACACCTGTGGGCGTGAGCACCCTGGAGCCAGGACAGATGCTGTCGCCCAGAACACAGGAGAAGCACTTGCGTATCAGAGTGAGGCTGCTGGATGGCACGGTGGAAGTATTTGACATTGAGGTAAGAAGCACAGCCTTTGTCTTCTAAATATCAGGCACTCTATACCCAGTGCCATCTTGCTGGTTAGACTTTGTATATTTGTCCAGTTGACCAGGAGCAGCTTCGATGAACACACAGTAAGGTCCTGGATACAGTGAATCTGAGGTCTTCTTTTAGTTTGGGATTCTTGACAGGTTGGCAGCACATGCCTATAATCCTAGCACTTTGGCAAGCTGAGACAGAAAGATCACCACGTTGAAGTCTGGCCTGGAAACCTACCAATTTAGTCAGATCCTGTTGCAAGATAAAAAGCTTTGGGGGTGGGGTAACTCAATGCCAGTTGCTTTAGCTTAATCCCTAGTACTAGGGGGAGATGTTACAAAATTCTGAAGGGACTAGATGTGCCCAAGCTTCTCTTCTGAGCGGCTGGCTGAGAGAACCAAAGGGTTCAGTGCAGCCAGATTACTACTAGATCCTTTCTTGCTCAGCCCCCTGGTTTCCTGGCCACCTGGAAGGACAGCACTGGCCCTGTGTGTCAGCATCCTTGTCGGAAACATGGGTGCAGCCCACCTTCTCAGGAAGGCTAATGTACCCTTGAGCACATACTGTGCAGGAGGCGTCCAGGAGGCGATGTAGAGTGTGAGTGTAGAGCCTACTGTTCCAGGTGTGCAGAGTGCCTGGCGTCCAGGAGGCGATGTAGAGTGTGGCTATAGAGCCTACTGTTCCAGGTCAGCAAGGAATACTTCATTTTCAACAGTTCCCTAGTGGTAGATCGCACTGGTAATGTTGACAAAACGATTTTTAAAAAAAAAAATAATTTGGTACAGGGTCTCACTATGCAGCTCAGACTCGTAGTGTTCCTCCTGTCTTAGCCTCCCCAGCACTAGGATGATAGGTGTGTACCACCATGCCTGGTTTCAGTGGCCGGCTCAGCGCGCCTGGTGGTGGGGCTGGCACAGCATGTGGTATCGAGGATTGAACTCAGGTCTTTGTGCTTGCCAGTCGGGGGCTTAGCCTGCCGTACTACCTCCCTAGCCCCCAAAATGATTGAATATAGTAAAAATATGGGTATATATCAGTATGTTACACTGCTCACTTCTTAGACTCACGTGCTATATTAGAATTTTGTCTATTTAAATAGTATTAGAACAAATATTCTTTTTTTAACTTGCTAATTCATTTTCATATTTAATGCATAAATCCATTCTCTTTTCCAAGATTTGCATATTGCATGAAAGAAACAGCTTCAAAAGCTTTTCCTACTCCTTTTTTTTTTTTTTTTTTGACGGAACCAGGGATTGAACTCAGGCCCTTGCACTTGCCAGAGAAGCGCTTATTTCACTGAACCATCTCCCAGCCCCTTTTCGTACTCTTAATGCCACAGAAGTGAAGCTAAGAGAATGATCATGTTATGGTTTGTGTCTGGCTATCCCCCCTCACACACACCAGGGAGGTGGCTGGGTCTTGGGCATGTCATCTCAGGTTACAGGTGGATAAGAGGACCAGCATGCTGATTGACTCAGCATAGTGCTGTCCTAGGTGTGGCTAGTGGGAAAGCCCAGTGTGAGGGTGTGGCATCAGTGGATAGGCTGAGATCCTGAGTGGGACGAGAAGGAAGGCGGGCTTGCTGCCTCCCACCTGCCATGCCGTGAACTTGTCTCTCCACCAGGCTCCTCTGTTGTGCTGCCCTGCCCTAGGCCCAGCTGGCTGTGGACTAAAACCTCTGCAAACTGAGCTAAAATAAGTATTTGCTCGTTTAGCATGTGGGTTTTAGGTATTTTGTCCCAGCAGTGAGGATGTAATCAAGACAGATCACCCCCCACCCCCTGCAGAACCGGGGATTGAGCGCAGGCCCTTGCACTTGCCAAGCAAGCACTTACTCTACTGAGCTATCTCCCTGGCCTCAAGACAGATCTTAACCTCCAGTAATAGGTTTGTTTGTGCTTAGAGATTTCTGTTGAGGATGAAGATAATAATATATATAGGTAATAAGAAAAGATTTGAGTTATGGGTAAGGCCTTGTCCCAGACTGTGTTGGGGCAGGCTAGTGAAGTTGGATGGAGGCTGTCATTCTGCTTGGAGTCCTAGATAAAGTGACCTTGTCCTTGAGTGTCACGTGACAAGTACAGTATCTCATGGTACAGTCCAAGAATTCCAGGGTACCCAGGTGTTTTTCACATCTTACCTGAGGAGAAAACAAAGTATTTCATCAGGGCGGGCAGTCTGTTTTGGGCAGGGTCTCTTACAGTACAATAGACCATTATGTGAGTAGATTACCTTACAGAGTCAACATAAGGGAAGAGACATTTATTTTAGCTCATGGCTTCAGAAGTTCAGATCTGTGGGCAGCAGACTCCATGGCAGAAACAGTCTGGTGGAAGGGGACGGGAGAAAGCTGCTCCCTGCGTAGCAGCCAGGAAGCAGAGAAGAGCAGAGAGATCCAGAAGGAAGGGGGGTGAGGACTAGAATGTACCCTTCTAGGTTATTTCTCCAGGTGCCTGCCTCCCTCCTCCAGTCAGACCTAACCTCCCAACAGGGCATCGTCGTTAGGAGCTCCTTGACAGGTTAATCCATTGATGAGAGTCGCATGCTCAAGATCCAGGAGCCTTCCAGAAGCCCCACTCTGAACATAACTGGTTTTGAGGGACATTTGCTTCTTAATTCTAGCAGTAACCTTTGAGCCGAGAAGAGATAGTATTGTTTACTCAAACTCTGTCACGTTTTCAATGGCTATCCCGTAAGAAATAGGTCAAAGACCTGGGAACTGAACTGGATTCCCAGGTCTTTTCCACTCAGATGTTCAGAAGAATTTCTGTTATACAGTCATCGTGTGGCAAGTGCATTTGCCAGAGTCAAGGCTGGTGACAGGTTCAACATTTAAAAAAAAAAAAAAAGAGTGAAAGGAAAAGACTTACAGTATTTAGGGTTTGTTTTTAGGTGTCTTATTTGTCCTGCTTAATGGTCTTTCTCAACTAAATCTAGGACCTAAAGGGAAAGAGCACACTTTGGTTGCTGGTCGTAAATAAGATGTGTCTTAGTTACTCTTCTCCCGTTGCTGGGACAAATACCTGACACCCAAAATGAAGGAAGGAAGGTTTATTTAGTTCACAGTTACTGGAGGTTTCAGTCCGTACTCAGCTGGCTCCAAGGCAGAGTTGCACAGGGCAGAGAGCATCTATTCATGGAGGCGGCAAAGAGGAAGAGCAAAATGGAGGAGTAGCAGCAATAGTGCCAACAGAGAGAGAAGTCTGTCTCTGTCTCTCTTATGTTGCATTCAGGCTTCTATCCCAGGCTGGGGAAGTACATGCACCCACACTCCCAGCAGTACTAAAATCTGTAATCCCAGCCTTGGATCACCCATAATCCCAGTGGATCATGAGTTAATCACAAACTCTAGAAGTCCCCACCCCATGACTGCATGAGGCTTTGGGGGGACAGCTGGACACAAACCATAACAAACAAGATGTAATCCTCTGTAATGCTGTAACCAAGCATTTAGGGTACTTTTTACCCAAGGAAATCAGCTTGAAAGTCCAAGTTTAGGGCCGGACAAATAGCTCAGCAGATTAAAGCGCCTGCAAGGAGGTACGGGGCCAGAGGTTCAACCCCAGGCCTGCTATGCCAGCCCTGCCCCTGGGGTGTGCTGAGATGGCAATTGAGACTGGGCGTGGTGGCGCACACCTGTAATCCCAGCTCTTGGGAGGCTGTAAACAGGCCGATCACTACAAGTTCGATCTAGTAGTGAGACCCTGAACACCCTGTAGACCCTTCCCTAAAATACAAAAGAAAAAAGTCCCAATTTTATCCATCTCCCAGAGGGAGCACTTGGAAAGGTGTTTCTGTACAGGATTAGTGCTGCGAGCATGAGAATGGTTATAGGGCGCAAGCTGCTGACAAGAAGTCAGTGGGACTGAGTGCAGGAGCAGGCTTTGTTCCACTCTTTCTGAGCCTGATAAAACGTTCCTGTTTAATTTTTGCACCCCCTCAATCAAAATGGCTTGAAGCTAGAAACTAGGTTCATTCTTACACGTTCAGTATTTATTAGTGTTGGAGAGTAAGATAGAGCTGAAAAAAATTTCTGCTTTTATTTTTATTTTTATTTTGAAACAGTCTTGCAGTGTTACCCATACTTGAACTTGCATTCCTCCCGCCTCAGCTTCCCAGAGTGCTGGGATTATAGGTGTGTACCACACTCCCAGTTTAGCTAAAATGTCTCAACAGTTTCTTAGAGGTATAGTTCACATATCATACAGTTTACCCATGTAAAGTATATAACCCAGCACTATTTGGTGTTCACCGAAATGGGCAACTGTCACCACAGTCAGTTTTATGTTTTATTTTTCAATTTTTTAAATTTAGTACAGGGTCTCACTATACAGATTGGACTCGTAGTGATCTTTATGCTTTCAGCCTCCCAAGTGCTGGACTTGCAGGCGCACACCACCACACCCTGTGTCAATCGCCATCTCAGTACACCTGGGGGCCGAGCTGGCATGGCACTCTGGGGATTGAACCCCCGTCTCTGCGTCTGCCTGAGCAGGCACTTTAATCTGCTGAACTGTTTGGCCGGCACTTACCTCTTTGATTCAGTGTTCTTAGGGTTCACACATTAGCATGAGCGGTTCAGTGCTGAGCTCTCAGGACGCATAGAATCCCACTGTGTGGGTGCACATTTTGTTTATTGGCCCTCAGTAAATGATATCTGGACTGTTTCCAGCTTTGGGATGTTGTCAGTAATGCTGCTATGAACATTCTTGCACCAAGTTTTGTGTGGATCTGTTTTTCATTTCTTCTGGGTATATACTCAGGAACGGAATTGTTAAGCCATGTAGTAATCCCAAAGTTTAATCATTAAAACGCCCTCCAGGCGCTTTTCCGAAGTAGTGACACCATTTTACATTCCACCAGCAAGGTTAGGAGGGTTTTGATTTCTCTGCATTCTTGCCAACACTCAAAAATTTTCCAACTTTTTAATTCCAGCTATGCATCCAAGTGGGTCTGAAGTGTATCTTACTGTGGTA